ACTAACACAAACCCCTGGTATGTGGAAACTAGGCTTAATGTAAACCTTGTGTGAGGGTGAACTCTGGCCTCATGATGGCTTCCACAGGGAATTTCTAGGTTCTGGCTGTTGCAGGCCATTGCATCAGAAAAAGGACTTGCTCCAAAACTGTGCTTGTTTGTCATGTTTTAAACTTGCCCACTCTGTCCTACCCCCAGGAAAAGAGTCTAACACCTTAAGGTGTGTGCTATTTTAGTATTTTTTTCAGCAGATGCTATAAACTAGCTGAGGGATTTTATTTTGTTTTAACTGGGGTTCCAGTCTTAGATATTGTCTCCTTGCTGCACTAGCAAGAGAAACACTGCAGTGTATTTTTTTTTCTTCTCCAGACTGTGCATCTATCAGTCACGAGGCTTTTCCACTTTTCTGACTCAATAGCTTGCAATTGTGTGGGATCTTATAAATAGGGGAGCTATTGGCTGTCTTTTTCCATCTGACTGAGCAGCGGTAGGTGACAGCTCTTCATTTATTTCCTAGCTCTGCTTAAATCTTCACACTGAAAACATTTCATAATTTCTCTGACAGGCAGGATTTGTGATTGTAGCTTTACTTTTTGGTGGCTTGGCTTTACCCAGTTTAGGTTGTGTTTTGGAGTGTCACTTTGTTACTGGCCTGAATTAATGCTGTGATTGCATGAGAGGAGATGTTGAATTTCTTTTGTTGCCCATGCCTGTCTTTAAAATCTCTGAATAATTACTTGGGATGCTCTGTGTATATTTGATCGTGGTCTGGTACAGAATGGCCTGCTAGCACAGCATTTAACTAGTGACCCTGTGAATGTTCAGGAATCTGTTCATAAGGGCTTTCCCAATGTAATGCAGGTTTTCAGTAGCCTTTACTGGAACTCTTCTGGGTAAGAGATTTCTTAATGTAATTTCTAAAGCAGTAAGGTCAATGTTTTTCAGTATAAATTATGTGAATATTTCTGTATGTTACTTCTAAACAGTTTTGGAATACGTTGAAGTGTTACATTGCTTAAATGGCAAAAGGCGGTGAAATTGCGTAGGGGAAGACTTTTAGTCAGTGGTGTGATTCTAAAGAAAAACAGTTTTTCTTGGTAACTGAAATAACATGATCTCTGCACACTCGTCATTGATTCCTGCCATCTCCTTTAAATAGCCTGATTGCTGTGTCTTTTTCTGCATAGCTTGCTCTGTATTAAGCACAGCTCTTTAGGGAGGAATGTCCGTGGCCATTTAAATGTTTTGAAAATTGTTTGTTTAGGTTTGAGTGAAGTGTACACACCAAACTCCTGCTGTATTTATTGCACTGAAATGCTGTTCTAGCAATACCAGAACTCTCTTCATAGCTGGCAGCAAAATTAGAGGCTGGAGTTGAATGTATGTGAGTGAGAAAAGGTGGCTCAGATCTCACTTCTGAAATAGACAAAAGAAAATCAGGCAAGTAACTTGGTTATTTTGGTGTGCAGAACTGGTCAACAGCAAGCCTCTCTTGAGCCCAAAGCATTATGGGCTTGAATGGCCCAAGGTAGCAAGGCTCTGAAGTCTGTAGGTAAAGTCTTAATGTGAAAGTGATTTGAGGTCAGAATTGAAAACTGTTTGAGGATAGTGGTGCTGTCAGGTTCCTGTATCAGGTACTATTAGTGTTGGGGTTAAGACCCTTGCGAAAGGCTAAGTGGAGGGGCAAGAGAGGCTATGTGGAGACCTTTTGGAGGAGGAAGTTCCTACAAGAGTGTTTGGGTTTCTGAAGCGTGCTTTTGGGGACTGCTTGAAAAGGATTACAGGAAAGAGTTCCTAGTTGTATATTCCAATGCCAACAGGAAAGAAGCTCACCTGTTAGATACCTTAAGTGCAGTGGGTTCCTTATGACTTAAGAATTACTCAGGAAGAGAGGGAGGGCACCTTCTCAGTCTTATTTTCAACTTTCTTTTATTATGAAATCCTAGTGGAGTATTATTAGAGTATTTAAAGGTAAGGAAATTCAAGGTCAGTATGGGAACAAACTCATAGTAATGGAAGACAGTATTTGAATTCCTTAGCTTTCCAATGATGTTCTTGCTTTACATTTCTTAAGAATTGTAACTATATATATTGCTGTTTATGTATGTGCAGCCTTAATTTTACTTTCATTTCATTGAGGCTCAAATGTTCGGAGCGTACTGTGTCACTTCTTAGGAAGTGGAAATGTAGTGTAGATTTCTTTGGCAGTGTACAAGGCCAGATTGGAGAGAGCCTTGGGTGACATGGTCTAGTGGAAGCTGTTCCCTGCCAAAAGCAGAGGGTTGGAATTACATGATCTTAAGGTCCTTTTCAACACAAAGCATTCTATGATTCTTGGAAACCATTGACTGTTAAGCAGTGAAAGCCAAGGCTGGAAAGGCTCTTGTACTGTATTTATGCCACTATCATGACAGCTGAACAGTCTTCATTATTATTCCTAAGTTGTTCTAGCTGGTGGGTGTTAAAGCTTACTGCTTATGGTTGGGGTTTTTTTTTAAAGTGTTCCAGAGATTTTTTGCCCCCCACAGAAAGGTTTTCTTCAAGGTTCAGTTAAAATGTGTTGATTTGAAAACAAATAACTCCTCACCCCTTAAAGGCCATATCCTGGAAAACTCTAAGCATCCTCCTTGCTAGTAGCATAAAACCCATGTGGTTTATGTTTGGACATAACTTCTGCAAAATTGCTATGTGAAAAGTCAGCCTTGAGAATATCTGTGTAAAATATAAGCTGTTGAAAGACTTGGCTCTTTAGTATCTGTAAAGCCATATGGCTAAGATCCTGCAGTAGTGGAAGCAGTACAGCTATGGAAGAAGTAGTGGTGGAGCTTGTATTTTGGGCTCTTCAAACTATTTCAAGCTTGGATTTGACTTGATATTCTCCATTAACTCCTAAAGTAAAAGGAGGTAAGCAAGTATGCTGAATAAACTGAATTTCTGCTCTTAATTCAGAAAGAAATGAGGGGCCTATGTGTAGGCCTGGATGTAATGTAGTTAGCTTGGTATTAGGGCTTTAACTCTAGGTGACATTTTTATCTTGGCTGTCTATGCTACTGCTGGTGCACAGCCAGTTAAATTGCTTATAAAAACAGCTCTTAAGTTGCTGAAAAATCAAGTCAGCTGTTTTTAAGATGGAAATAGCCAAAAAGTTTATTATTTCCTCTTGAAGTGGTAGGGATTGGTTTGGGAATTAGGCATTAACTATTAGAGAGTCACATTTCTCAAATAAATGTATTACTCAGCACAGAAGTAGTACTATTAGGTATATTTAAGGTGTGGGTTTTCTTCTCTTGACTAGAAATAAAGAGTATTTCTGGTAATAAAGGTGATGTACAGTGAGGTGTTTCATTGTGGTGCTTATTATTTGGTTTCTTCAGTCTACAAGCAAGAAAATTTAACATCTTAAGTAGAAACAGTCAGTCTTGGCCTTTTCAAAAAAAACCACCATGTCTTTTTTATTTGTGCTGTTGTCACATATAGATCGTGTTGGGTGACTCGCTTATGTCCAGTATTTGGGATAAAATGAGTTTGAGACTGTCAGCATTCACTTGTAAAACTATTCTCTCAGTCCACTCCTTTTGCAAAGGGAAGTACAGCTTAGGCTTGCTGAATTTCAGGATCTTCAAAAGATTTTTTTCATTATTATTCAGCTCCTGGGCTTGCAAATTGGCAAGGCTGAGGTTCTGGTAGTTCAGAATTTGCTGGCATCTTGGAGGCTCTGAATTTGGAAGAAATCTTATTTTATTTTCTGGATATAGGTTCAGGTATTTGGTGGGTCAGTCTTTGGTTGATTTGCCCTTAGTGGTTGGTAATAATTGAGACAGTGAGATTGCAAGATAACACATTTCTGCCCACGTATTGAAGAGGGAGTTAGGTGCATATTGATTTAGTTTCTTTTTGAAGCTGCAAGATCTAGTAAAATAATACTGATTAATAGACCAATTTTGGCCTGAATACTAGGGTTCTAAATATGAAGGAGGGAATAGGTAGGTCTTCTTTCTCACAACTGTAGTGAGTGTGGTTAGGTGGAAAAACCTCTGCACACTAGGCTTAGTCTTTGCTCAATTCTTGTGGTACAAGTCAAGAAAAAAGTGTATGTGAATTACAAATATTGATAAAGAACAGTAAACCCCCCGTTTCTGTTTTAGTTGCAGATGAGAGGTTAGAAAATGCTTTTGAAAGAGAAACTTGCTATCATGAGATCTAATGAGGAAGGATGCATATTTCATGTGTCTCGTGAAATTTCTGGCTTTCTTTAGGCTTGGGAGAGGTGATGCAAAAGTAAGTAGTAGAAAGGATTGATTGCCAACTGCACTGGTGTTTTTTCTGATCTGCTTTAGAGTCTGGCTTGAGGCTGAGCTCTTCCTCTGTGTGACTACTTTTATTTTTGAAAGATAAAACTTTTCAGTCTGAGAGCAAAGCATAGGCAACTGTTACAAATTGGAAGCTGTGAAGAGCTTCCACTTGCTAAATAAATATACAATAGATTTTTTTGTCTGCTAACGGGTATTTAAAGGGGCAGATAAGTGCTTTTAAATAGAACTCTGCTTATTAAATTAGAAGTTTTCTTCTATTTGTGCTTTGTTTTTAGGCATTGATTGTGGGGCCTGCTTTACTATTAATGACACCTACTGTCATTACTGTGACTTCAAGGGCTAAACCATTTATCTCTTGGAGGAACAAAGTGAAAGAGTCTAGTTACATTTTTCCAGGAAGTTTTATAAAAATCTCACATCTAACCTTTCAAACCCAGTGTTTCAGGAGAGGTGTATTTCACTGTCCCACCTCCCTTCAAGTAGTGTAAGGGTTTTTCTTTTTGTCCTACTGGGTGGAATAAGGTAATAGGGTATAATGGTTTGTTAAATGTGGGGTTTCCCCTTGTGATGCTGATGTCTGTTCATTGGAATTTTACATTTTGAAGCTTTTGTTCTATGCAGATGGGTTCTTCTTATATAAACCTAACGTTGGAACTCTTGATAACCCTACTTTTCTTTCGTGTTTTAGTGCAAAAGATGATATTGATATTGATGCCCTTGCTGCTGAGATAGAGGGTGCAGGAGCTGCAAAGGAGCAAGAGCCTCAGAAATCCAAAGGCAAAAAGAAAAAAGAGAAGAAGAAACAAGATTTTGAGTAAGCTTGCGGGTTTTTTTTTCTCTCTGTCTTATTTTATTCCATTTAACAAGAACTCAGTTACTTAAGTACCGTAACTTTTCTTATTTTAGTGAAGATGATATCCTGAAGGAGCTGGAAGAACTGTCAATAGAGGCGCAAGGAGGGAAAGTTGACAGGGAACCTTCTACAGGAAAGGTGAACACTGAGGGGAAAGTGGGCTCATTAATAGGACATAGTAAAATACAAGGCACCTCTGTCCCAGGAAAGTTCTAGTCTTGTAGTATAGTATTTTTAATTATACTTGATTATATTTTTATAGTAAAGTAACTGGTGAGAGATTCTACCAGAATAATTACTCAAAGCCGATCAGAATAAATTTTAATTGTGGGTTGAGGCATAGTACACTTTGCAGGAATAGTTACTGCTTTCACACTTTGTCTTCAGTAAGAGAAGTCACTCTTGACATCTTTCAGCGCTTCTGCTTAGCTCACAATAGCCAGTAATCTTTCGTGGCTGATTATTGAATTGTTTAATTACCAGGTTGAAAATGACAATGAAGAAAGCTTATCAAAACAAGACAAAAAAAGGAAAGGAAAGAGTAAAAAAGCCAACCTGGAAAATGACTACGACAGTGAGGAAATGGAAGATAAAGATAAAAAATCTAAAAAAGCTCAGAAAGCAAAACAAGATATGCTTTCTGGCAGTGATGATGATGATCATGAAATACAGCTTAAGAAAAGCAAAGGGAAAACTCAGAAGTCAAATAAAAAGCATGACTTGTCAGAAGAAGATGAAACTAACATTAAGAAAAGCAAAGACCGTGCAGGGGCAGTGTCTACAGGTGAGAGTGGTGATGAATCAGATGACATCTCCCAGTCTAGAAAAGGACAAAAGAAAAACCAGAAACTGAAGTCTGCTCCTGCTGCAGAAAGTGGGGATGATGATGATGAACCTTCATTCAAAGTGAAAACAGTGGCTCAGAAGAAGGCAGAAAAAAAAGAACGTGAAAGGAAAAAACGTGAGGAAGAAAAAGCCAAACTGAGGAAGCAGAAAGAGAAGGAAGAACTGGAAGGTGGTAAAGAACCAGCCAAGCCAAAGGAAGCTCAAAAAAAGCCTGAAGAGAAGGCTTCTGAAGGCCTGGCAACCGCTGGCAAGACTCCTGCAGCAACAGAGGGTTTGTAATGTGATTTTTGAAACTGTAATTTAAACACTGTAGCTTTTATAAGGCCAGAGATTTGGCACACACTGAAGATGATTTGTTGCTTTATTCTGAATTGGGAATACTAGACACATGATAGCCTTTTCTGCTTCTTTATGTTGGCTCCCATGTGGCTTTTTTTTGTGGCCTATAGTTTGTTCAGGTACATGGGAAAACAAGAGCCAGATGGTAAATTCTCATTGCAGTATGTGGTTATGGTTCTGTATTGCAAACATACTTTTCACTTCCCAGTTATTCTGTTACTTTAAGACTTCAGGCCCTGACTTTATAAGTTCAGAGAGTTTAATTTTTTCATTATGATGTGCTTAGATAGTTTCTTGTTTCATGTTACTTACTATATTTGAAACATTAATTGTATTTAGAGTATCTTTAGAATTTCTCTGATCTTTGAATGTTTGCTGTCTCTTTCTGTAGCTGATGACAATGAGGGGGACAAAAAGAAGAAAGACAAGAAAAAAAAGAAAGGTGAGAAAGAAGAAAAAGAGAAAGAGAAGAAAAAGGGTCCCAGTAAAGCCACAGTTAAAGCTATGCAGGAAGCCTTAGCTAAAATGAAAGAGGAGGAGGAAAGGGCAAAAAGAGAGGAGGAAGAGCGCATAAGACGACTGGAGGAGCTAGAAGCAAAACGCAGAGAGGAGGTACCGTGTATCTTACCCTCTCTTTTATTGTGTCCTCAGGGTAATCTTAACCTATCCCCATGCTGGTGCAGTTGGTGGATTAGTCTTTCATATGTTTCTTATCAGTATGTATGTGGCCAGCTTTTGTGTAAACCATGCTTTAACATTTCTGCATGCCTTTTTTTTAACCTTTTTCTAGGAACGATTAGAGCAAGAGAGGAAAGAAAGAAAGAAACAGAAGGAAAAAGAGAGGAAGGAGCGATTAAAGAAGGAGGGAAAACTTTTAACAAAAACTCAACGAGAAGCAAGAGCCAGAGCGGAGGCTACTCTTAAACTACTTCAAGCTCAGGGTAAGCAATAAAGCTTAATACTACTACTACTACTAGTAAATCATACCCCTTCTCTGTGTATGTTTTTTCTATCTGGAGCTAGGGGGTTAGTTCTAAGTAATTCTGTATGAAGCTCCTTTGTTGTCTAGGAAGGCAGTGTGTATGACACTCCCCTTTTTAAAAGTAGGATTAAATGTCTATATTTTCATCTTACACTTCAAATATCCAACTTTATATTTTTAATATATTTTATATGTTTCATATTTCACTTGCATTTTAAAGATGTCATTTAAGGAACTTATGAGAAATTGCTTCCTTCCATCGCTTAGTCCAGAGGCCAAGAAAAGCAGATGGGTTGTACTGCAGGTCTTGCGTTACCGTGAGTTAATTCGTATGCTCACTTAAGCAAGTGCGTTGTTTTGTGGTGTTAGTCCATGGGGACAGTATATTATCCTCTTGCATTTGCTTCTGGAAAAGGGTGTAACAGGAGATTTCCGGCTTTACCCTCAAATATAGTGTTTCCATTACAATGAAATAAATGTATCCAGTGTGTTGTAAGCTCATATACTAATTTGTTCCTGGTAAGTTGTGGCTAAAGAAAGAAATGAGTCCTTGAGTTCCGAGTATCCTTTGTATTTATGGGGAACACTATCTGACACTTCTGCTAGGTGGATGTGTAAGGGTAGGAATCTCTGTAGTTAGTAAAGTGTTTGGAGCTCTTAAAAACACACAAAGGCCATTTATCTTGAGTTGTTGTAGCTATTAGAATCTTTCTATTTGTGTGTTGCCACAAGTGGATTTTTGTCAGATATACACTGCAAGTCACACATTACCTAAAGGAATTTTTAGAAGATGTAGCAGTAATTGAATTATTAATTTGTTTTTGCACTGAACTTCTTGTTTTTAACTGAATCCCTTCCAATGTCACAGGTGAAGATGAAGCTGATGAATCGAACCTGGCATATCTTAATACCTAAAACTGTCTATGTTGTTAAAAGTAACAGACAACCCCCTCCCTAACACTGAGCAAAAGATAAAATGCTATCTACTGAACAACCTTAAGCTTTTAAAAGCTGTGCCTCTTAACTGCTCCAGATTTTCTGAAATGGGGGTGATTGGCAGACTGGCTTTAAGAGAGTTTTACCATGGCAGACTTTAAATTGACACATGCTGTTAAGCTTTGTGTGTGTGTGTGCATGAAATCTAGAAAAGCTTCAAAGCTGGAGTCTTAGGATCAGGTTGTTTTCTTCCCTTTAGTTATCTGTCTTCTTTTTGAGACTATTCAGGGTATCTGAAGATCTACACTTTGCTCAAGCTTTGCAGCTTTTGAAAATCAGTCTTTTTAAAAAGATAAAATATGCATTGAACCTACTTTCCAATGCCTTCCTCCTCTTAGGAAGTTCTAGAAAGCATGTTCTCATTTAAACCAAAGCTTATGTTTGGTAACTAGTCGCCTCAATTTTTCTTTCTAACAATTTCTGTTTTGCAGGTGTTGAAGTGCCATCCAAAGACTCTGTGCCAAAGAAGAGGCCAATATATGAAGACAAAAAGAAAAAGAAGCAGCAGCAGCCAGAAAATAAAGAAGGTGTGGTTTGCATGTGGGGATACTTAATAGATCAGTCACCTTTCCAGAAGTGTTTGTGGAATAAGTCAGCTAATCCTAAACCAGTGGCACTTCAGGGTGCCTCTGAGGTTCTTTTGACATCCCTGCCCCCATGTGCAAGTATTGGTGCATTAAGATCTTAAAATTCTTTTGAAGGCTGCTCACTTTGTTTTGTTTAAAAAAAAAAATTAATTTGGTGGGTTTTTTTTTCTTCTTTTCTTTAGCCTCAGTATTTCCTTCAGAATTTCTAAATGTTGGAGATGTGCAGAATGTAAAAGCTTTTTACAATGGTGAGGTTGAATGCTTTGTGTGCCTGTGTAGGTTAAATACAATGTAGTGTGAGTAATAACTTACAATTAAGTCTAAGTTGATGTTCCAGGATGAGAGGGGATTGATCTTAGTTTTAGTACTTTTAAGTTGGAGGCAATTTGTTTGTTTTCTTGTATATAAAAGCAGTTTTCAGTTTCCAGGGTGTGAGTAGCTCACAGAGCTTGCACTGGTTAGGTGTTGATTGAATGTGTTGAACTTTCTACTTTTGTGCTTTGTAGCTTTCCTGGGGTGGGGCTGTTACTGTGGCTCTTCTGAAGACTATTCCTGAGTTAAAACAAACAGAAACAATCCCAAAACCTCTTTGAATCGGATTTTTTGTTATTTAGCTGGGTTTGTTGGGTTTTTTTAATACTTGGCAGAAGTTGTGTGGCTGCTTACCACTTAAGGAGTGTGTGTAAAGAACTGAGAACAGTGCTTAACAGAATTATATCTGTGATTTTGATTTTTTTTCATATGGAACAGTAGAGCAATAGTGGGTAGTTCATTACTTCATTTTCCCTTGTCTTCTAAAGAAAGTGAGGGTTTTTATAATGTTTGAAAGCAACAGTAGTACTCTTAGCCAATAATGGACCTATTGCATAAACCTATTTAACTGCTTAGAAAGCCAGATGTTTTGCAAATAAGCCACATGCTCTAACTTTTGTTTTAACTCAGTAAGTGGGAGTTGTTTGGTGTTACATAATTTCAGATTTTGTTTACTTGTAATAATAGCACAACTTAAAATAGAGCTTGAGTGTGAAGCTGTATGTGTAACTTGGGTTGCACTTTGGAAGGATGTAGCAACCAGTTTGCTTTCTGGCAATTTCAGAAATTGTGGAGGTGACTTCCCCAGCTGAAGATGCTGTAGAACTGGAACCACCAGTAGAAGAAGAGACTCCTCTCCCGGTAGAGCCAGGTTAGTCATAATGCTAATAAACCCCATTAGACTTTGTGGCAGTACTGCATGGTAGGTATTGTTCCTTGTTGGATGGGGGGTGAGTGGCCATCCTTTCTTGAAGTAGTTGCTGGGTTGTTTTTTTCCTTTCGCTAAAGGAGGAATTGATGGAATTTTATGGAATAAAAAGGCATAAAGCTTCAAAATGAGAATGTAAAGATCCCTCATTCTTGGTGAACTGCAGTGTTCAGTTGGCTTAGGCAACTGTTTCAAGCCGATTCAGTGCCTTATGATTAGCTCTCTTTGACTTTCCATTTGCTTTCTAAAAGGCTGTTTTATCAGCAGTTAAGCAGGGATAGGGGAAAAAATACACTGTGTCTAGTATTGATACTGCAATATTCACAGGGGTTGTACAAATTCCAAATGTTTTGTTTTCACAAGTGCTGAATGCAGTGGATATGGGTTAGCTTATGGAACTGAGTATCAGCCCAGCAAGTGATTGTTGTCCTCATTTTTGCCTACACACAATACTTGTTTTGGCAAAATCATGTTGTACTGGACTTCCTCCTCAGCAAGGAGACTGTTTCAGTTTTTACCCTTATGCTTAAGCTAGATAAATACTGACAAAATTTCCAGCCTTTTGAAAACAAAGCTGAATGTGTACTCTAATTCTAGCTTAACTTATCCATTGCTGTAAAAGAGAAAGGCTTACTGGCAGAACGTTGTTTACAGTTAATGTTTTAGCAGTCTGGAACTTTCTCTTCATTTCAAAGAGCTGAAATTCCATGACACTCCATGTGCTGCAACATTTTTTTTATATATATATATATATGAAATGTATATATGTATTTTTATACATCTTTTATAAATTTGCATATATATACACTCACTATATGTAGCTTATATATAATGTTGTATATTATATATATTTTAAACTATATATAATGTATATAGTTTAATGCCTCTTTTGGAGAAGGTTAAAAGATTCCCCCCCCCCATTTGTCCTTTATGAAGAGCTGGATTATCTTTATATTATCTGAATTAATTCCTGCTGGAATGAATATATTTAATGCTTCTGCAATCCATAGTATAATTATGTTAAGGTACTGGGAGTCCCAAAGTTGCACTTTTATGGGCAGCTTTTTTCTTTCCCATTAATTAAAATCAGTGCTGCAACCCAACTCATTTCCTTTCTTCTATGAATCTCTGTCACTTTGTTACACATGGCTAATGGTTGGGCAGCTCTTTTAAAGGAGTGTTGCAGAGGTTTGTGCGGTGTGCATTGTGCAGGTACTTGCTTGCTATGCAGACAGGAACCAGACGAGCAGTTTAGCTATGTCTTTCAAAGCCGTGTTTTGCTAAGCAAAGGTGCTAGCACTATATGATTTTGTGAAGAGAACTGAGGATAATTTCTTTAGTATGCAGTATTTTCTGCTTAGGCAACGTGGAGATAATTTGATAGAGTTATGGTAGCAGCAAACTCCTAAGTTACAGTTGTCAGTATGTCAAAGTTGATTCTAAAAATGTTTTAAGTTGCTGGACTGTTTCTTTAATGTTGGTTTTCTTAGTTTCGGAAGAGAAGGAGGAAGAAGAAGAAACAGAAGATGGTGGTTTGGATGACTGGGAAGCTATGGTTAGTGATGAAGATGGAGAGAAAGGTAAGCATGTAAATACCAAATGGATGCTTTCTCCAATTAAGAGGCTTCTTTGGGCTGATGAGTCTCTTGTTTCTGTAGAAAACAGTATGGTTTTTAGATTCTCTCCCTGCCTCCTTAGATAAATTGTGAGGCAAGTGTGACGATAGAGGTACACGGTCCTCTTCTCAAAGGCAGAACTTTCAGAAACCACACAAATACTGCTCAAGAAGATCCTTTGGAACTACATGGAATATGTGTAATAACAACATAACTGGATTTTTTTTGTTTGTTTTTATGGGAGTAGAAATCCTCTCCTCTTAATTTGTGCTTAAAACACTTCTGGGAGTTTTGGGAAACCTTTTACCTGGTACTGTGTTTCTCTGGTAACCATTCCAGAGCTTATAACAGTTTTACCACACAAACCTGGCAATATGTAGGAGACTACCTTTGAGACAGCTTCTCAAAGAACCTGGGAACTAAGATGGTGTGAAGGTTAGTGTGCATGCGTTATAGTAAGTTCTTGTTGCCTCCTCTCATTGCTGCTTTGAGAGACAGGTGTGAAAGAAAGAATTGTCAGAACATTCATATTCCTGCACTTCTGTGCCACAGCCAGTTTTCTGTGTGCAGCCAACAGGAATGTTTCTGGGGAAGTTAGAGCTGTGCAAGAATGCAGGGATAAGTCCAGGTGTTTTCTTTCAGTGGTGGTGAAAACTGTTGTTGTGAGTCTTCCTGAACAGGAGTTGGCTCCTGTTCTTAGTACTTCCATGATGGGTCTTTGTTGTTTAAGATCAAAGACTGTTAATCAAGTATTTATTGACTTGCTGAGCCCCTGTATTTTCAAATGTAATACTTTATATATGTATATGTAAGTGGTAGGGATTTTATTTCAGCACAGATGAGTTCCTCTGGTGCTGGACTGTTCTACTTTGTGTACTAGGGATTGCTCACCTTCACCACGTTAATGTGGTGTCACCGTCCTGGAGAGAGCTTCACATCCCACTTCTGGCTGCCTGATTGGAAGGATCTGCTGATGTAATCCAGGAAATGAGCTTTCCTGGGAATTAGCGTATTAGTTGGTGGACTTCCAGCATAGTAAAGAAACGTAACTAATCTCTAAGAGCAGTGGGCCTCCTAGTAGCTCTCTAAGGAAGAGAATGCATGGCTTTAAAGTCTTCATTAGCTTGTCTCTTCTGATTTTGCCAGCATGATAAATGGAAAGCTTTTAAAGAAAGAATTACTATTTTGATAGCTCTTTTTGTGTGTTTATGGAAGGACTCCCCTGAAAATATTTTTTCTCTGAACAGTCTAGGAAAACCTTGAGATTTTTTTCAAGATGCAAAAGAGACCATTTATTCTGATTGTTACTACTGCTTAAATGTGTATTCCTGATAAGTAATGCACAGAAATCCATATTTAGTTGAATTTAGAGTATTCTGGCATTTAAAGGTGTTGGTGCATTCATTCCTTTATCAAGTACCCAGAGTTTTAAATAATGTCATTCCATCTCCATATTTGCAAATGACATCTAATGCAGGTGTATTGATAATGTCATTCCTCCTTCCACCCTGAACACACTGCTTGCACAGATTCTAAACACAAGTCAGCAGCTCTGAACATAAAACACTATTTTTTATATGGAAAGTTGAAAAACAGTCCTGACTAGGGCTTCTTGAGTGGAACCTACTCTCTGTCCTCACTCTTCTGTAGGAGTCTCTGCGTTTTGTGTTGGGTTGGTTGGTTTTTTTTGTGACCTCTCCCCTCCCCTACAAGGGTGAATTTAATAAAGCATTTTTACTTAAGGTTTTGTTTTTTTTTCTTTTGATAGAGAGCAAGCCTGTTCACATTGAAGTCAAAGAACAAAACGAAGTGGACGAGGAAGAGGAGGAGGAGGAAGATGAGGAAGATGAGGAAGAAGAGAGTGAAGAATCTGAAGATAGTGAAGGGAGTGAAGATGAGGATGAAAAGACCTCAGATGAGAGAGAGGCAGATTCCCAAGCAATTGGAAAACAATCTGTGGAAAAAAAGCCTAGCAAAGAAATTAGCTCTGATTCTGAATATGACTCTGATGATGATCGCACTAAGGAAGAGCGTGCTTATGACAAAGCCAAACGGAGAATTGAGGTATTTAGATACAGCTTTACTTGAACTGCTGGACTCTTGTGTTGTATAGGAAACAGCTTAATTTTCAGCTCATTGAAAAGCCTTTTAACTGTATTTGTCAGAATGATGGCTGTGTCGTGATGAATATTTAAGTAGGTCTGGATTTTGTGTTAAAGAATTAAAAATACTTGGTTTTGCTTGAAGATGAAGTGATTGGTTTTAGACAACTTGATCACAAAGAATGTGCTCTTTGTTGTTTCCCTCCACCTCACTCTCTCCTGGAGAAAGAGGCTTTTAGCCTTTACACATAGATATTGTAGAGCTTTAAATTACGTACTTGTGAATTGCTCAGCATTGTTGTGGCTGCCAGTGTCCTTGGTTTCCTTACCTGAGATGCTTATTCAGGAAGCACCATCCACAAAGCTACATGTTGATGGGTATAACAGCTTAGTCTACTAGGCTGTAACCAAACCCAGCCAACCAAAACCTTAACTGTTAGTTGTAAATTTTTTATTTGCCAAAAGAGGGGTGATGAACCTTGAGTTGCCTTGAAAGTTGAATGCCCACAATTAACTCTATGTATGCATATAATCAAGTCAAGATGTGAGGCGAGCTGTGGGGTTTGATTTATACTCACCCATTTTCATGTCTCTTTCATAGAAGCGACGAGCTGAAAACAGCAAAAACATGAACACTGAAAAGCTTAGAGCACCAGTTATTTGTGTCCTGGGGCATGTAGACACAGGCAAGACCAAAATTTTAGATAAGGTAAGATATAGAATGTGAAGGCACTGCCTGTGCATCTTGCTTATACATGTGCTTGTTATGATTGAAAATAGATATAGTTAAAGTGTACTCAGAGGTTCTCTTAGCCACTTACATGTAAGTGTTTCTGCTCCTTTGTTTTTTTTGTCTGTAGCTCCGCCATACTCATGTGCAGGACAGTGAAGCTGGTGGCATCACGCAGCAGATTGGTGCGACGAATGTTCCCCTGGAAGCTATTAATGAACAAACCAAGATGGTGAAAAACGTAAGTTGTAGCACACTAAAGACTGTTTGATGGTGGGTTTTGGGCTTTTTTAGATATGAAATGCAAACTAGTTAAGGCCTTGTGAGATTTCCTGGTGTGGGCAGATGCACTTTTACCTCATCTCTAATATTGGAGTTGATTGTTTCTTTTGAATTCCTGTGCCCTCTGCCAAAAGAGGGTTGTCTCATTTTTCATTTTAGTTGATAAAGTTTCGTTTCAGTTAATGAATTGCTATTTCTTCAGGAAAATACACAAATAGTGCTTACTGTGCTCCAGACAGTACATATATGTACATAGACTGCTTCTTCGTCAACATTTTGATTGTAATTTGAGACTTTGGAAACTGAGTGCATTTTTCTATTTAAAACTTACCTTTTTACTGTGTGCGCTGAAACTGGGCCAGTCCCTGGGTGATGGATTCTATTGTGTAACAGAAATAGTAACTGTTCAGTATTGCTTGTTTTGGGTTCTGTATTCCATCTCGCCTGACTGAAAAACCTTGGTAGTGTTGGCTTTTACCAAGATTTTTATTCAGCTTATTAAAAATGTCAAGTGGGGAGGAGGAACTCTTCCAAGACAAGGATGATGAATCTCACTAGTCAGAACTACTTTTCCCTTTGTAGGCTGCCTTGTCTTACAAAGTTCAGCTGAGCTTATGGCTGCTTGATACCATGGGGAGTGTGCTGCATCATTTTATTTACTTAATATTTTTATAGAGAAATGAGCTTTGACTGATCTGGCTTACGGAGGGTGCTGGCTTTTCTTAAAGTGTATCCGTGTTTTTGAAGTGAAGGCTGTCAGTACTGCTGCCAGCTCTTAGGTAGTTTGCTATTTTGCTTGTGTAATCTTTACAAGATGACTAATATTGTGAAATATTAGTTTGACAGAGAGAACATAAAAATTCCAGGCATGCTGATAATTGACACTCCAGGACATGAGTCTTTCAGGTAATGTTTTCTCGTAGTATAGTACTTCCCAGAAGTGATGGCTAAAGCATCTGGATATATTTTAAGCAAAGTGCTAGATCTTTGCCTAATCTGTTGTGTTTCTTCTTACTTGAAAAAACCCAGACAACCTGAAGTACAGGAATGAGAGGATTTGCTTAGTTTGCAGCTGCTTTTTATATCTGGTTAAGTGCTGGCCTTCTAGATCTGGTTAATTTTCCATCCTCGTGGCAGTTGAGCCATGAATATTTTTCAAAACCACATAAATAACATTTTTTTTCTTAATAGTTAGTGTAAGAGGAAAGACAGAAGCGGAAAGCTGGAGAGGAAAAGGTGAGGGTTTCAGGTGACCCAAGCACTCTGCTGTGAAAACTTCTGTTGTAGCCTCGAGTTCATAGTGTCCCAGTTAACTGAATTCAGGAGACTGCAGTTACCAATTGCACGAGTTAGCTGAGTCTTAGCAGAGGTCATATGCTGTCTAGGAACACCAGTGGTGTGCAGGCAAGCTGCTAAATCAGCTTCTAAGTTAAAAACATGATATGCATAGCTGTATTTGCTGAGGTGGCTCTTGCATGAAATACCCAAACTGAAGGACTAAGAATTTGATGTGATGTTCTCAGATATTAGCCTCTGCAAGCACTAAAATGCCATGCCTTGGGTATTTGGTAATGTTCTGATCAGTTCCTTGGCATCAAACCACTCACAGCTCTTCATCTAGCCAGCTTTTGTTTGGCACCAAAGATGCCTAATCTTGGTGTTACGTAGACTTGGGTAATAAATACCCTTGTTCAGATTTTGCACTCCTGTTTTTCACTTGTAACTGTCTCAGTTCTTGCTCAGAAAAAAATCAGGACAAATCTTAACTTGCAAAAATATATAATAATATGAGAGATCTTGGGAGAATAAGACATTAAATAGAATTTAAAAAGTGCAATTTAAATGTTTTTATAGAGTTCACATTTTTGAGGGAAAAATTACTTGATCAGCTTTGGCATTTTGTTGGTTGGTGTGTTTGATATTGTATTTGGTGTTGCTACATGACTGATTTGTCTGTTTTGGTTTTTGTTTTTTATTTTTTAATGCCACAGCAACCTAAGAAATAGAGGAAGCTCACTTTGTGACATCGCTATACTTGTAGTTGACATCATGCATGGTTTGGAGCCACAGACAATTGAATCAATAAATCTGTTAAAATCGAAGAAATGCCCCTTTATAGTAGCTCTCAACAAGGTAAGATAGCTTTTTACTCTTAAAGGTGTGCTTTTTTACTCAGAGTGTATTTGGCATCTGACAGTTGTCTGTTTCCTTCTGTGAACTTGAATTGTTTATGTAAAGTCTGAAGCAGTGACTTTTAATCCTTGCTTGCATTTTTCATGCCCTTGATACTCCAATGGCTTTACGGGAGCTTTGCAGAATAATCTCTTATAGCTCTTTTCCAAGTACGTTTCTTTACCTTACTTAACTTCTGTATATGAAGTGTTTCTGGAAGTTGTACTTCAGTTGTGTTTTTTGTTCTTACACTCATTCTATGGGTTTCTGTATGTTTTCTGATGAAATTGAAAGCCAGGTTTCACATTGAAAAGTCTTACTTTACATTAGCTGCTGATACATGTCAGCTTGATTTGAAGACAAGCTGGTTTTAAGAACAGTAATGTTGATCACTGGTGGGAAGTGTTTCAGGCTCTGCAATATTAGATGGTGAAGGTAGTGGGTTTTCTGCCTTATTTTCAGAAATTCTGTGCATGAGAAATTACTGTTTATGATGACTTAATATGAATTATAACATGTAAATAACTAATGTTCAATGACTTTGGATGCTATCTAACATGCTGATGGAGAACTTAGAGAAGGGTGTTCATGTGCAGTGTGAAAATTGCAATGGTGTTTAGAAAATGAAGTGAGCATTAAGATTGAAGGTGTTTGGAACTGAGGCAGCCGTTATCTCATGGCTGAAAACAGCTGCTTTGAGAAATAGAACTCGGCTATTAGGTGGAGAGGTGTTAAGGCCTGTACTAAGCCTGAGATTAAATAGCCAAAAGTTCTTGCATTTCAGGTTATAGTTCTGTTATTTGACCAGGTTGTAATCCATTTTCTAAAGATGTAGTTTTGATTTGTGCAGCAAATATAATAGATTCTTGGACTATGTCCTTCCTGCTTTGAAATCTTGCTTATGGAAGTATTTCTGAAGTATGCATTTGTACCTTTTGAACAACCTCCCTGTGATCCCTTCTCTGTAGCAACTTGGGAAAGGGCCCAAATTCCAGTAAGTTTAAAAAACCAGTGACTTTAAAAAATTCCCTGGAAAACTAGTAGTCTTTGCTCAGGAAAAATAAGTCCTTTTATTAATGTATGTAAAGCTCCTTGTGGGCCTCTTCCTTCTGAATGTTTTACCTTGAAACTTGATGCAATTAATGTGTATAAACTTTTCCCATATGAATGTGTATTATTTTAGCTTCAATTTTTAAAGCATGAAGTGGTATTTATCTAATGAAATACTGTTTGATGTTGAGTAAATATAGCAGCTAAAAGCAAATAAAAAGATTTACTTTGATTATTGGAGCAAATAGCTGGCTGTGTTGACTGGAAAAGTATTTCTCAGGGATGATGCGGCATAAGCCTACAGATGCCCTTTAAACTGTGTGAGATCACATATTGCTCTATTTTCAAGATTGATAGGTTATATGACTGGAAAAAAAGTCCAGATACAGATGTAGCCATCACCTTAAAGAAGCAGAAAAAGAATACGAAAGATGAATTTGAAGAGCGTGCAAAAGCCATCATAGTGGAGTTTGCGAAACAGGTAGGCTGGACTATTTGAAGCTCTTTGGCTAACAAAAATGATAGCAAAGGTGGTGTGCTTTGGGTGGGTGGGGTTTTGTTTGGGGCTTGTTTTGGGGTTTTTAACTTCCCTATCCAGAAAACAATTCAGGACATGAAGAAAACGGTCTCCTCTTTTCTGATATACTGGTGTTTACCTCTCATGAATCAAAATTTGCTGCCGTTTAAATGAATGCTACTTTGGAGAAAAGTAGCAGCTAATTGCTGTTGCATGGTCAGCAGAGTCGCAAATAGCAGTTTAAGTTTTCTGTCCCTATTCTTTCTGACTTTGGGAATTGCCTGAGAGAATCCCATCTATCTCTTTTTCTTGTGGACACTGGCAGGGCATGAGTCACATCAATTCTGTTGATGACATAAAATACTGTCTAGAAGCTAGATGTGGTAATTAGCATTGTACAGTTATCTTGTACTGCTTTCAAGTGTGGGTCAAGGCTTCAAGTTCCACAGCATACAGTCAGTAACCATGTGTTTTGTTAAGAAATTGGGATTTAAGAAATGCAGTAGTAATTGGCTGGGGCTGAATGTTAGTGTTAATACTGATGTGTCCGTATGTTTTCCCTTATATAACTATTAATCCTGATTCCAGGGCTTGAACGCTGCCTTGTTTTATGAGAATAAGGATCCCCGCACTTTTGTTTCTCTTGTACCTACCTCTGCTCACACAGGGGATGGAATGGGAAGTCTGATAGCTCTTCTCGTTGAACTAACGCAAACCATGCTGACCAAGAGGCTGGCTGAGTGTCAGGAGCTGAGAGCTCAAGTCATGGAGGTAACCTGTTCTCTGAAATTCCTCTAGGATCATAGGATGGTTTGGGTTGGAAGGGACCTTAAAGATCATTTAATTCTAATCCTCTGCCATGGGCAGGGACACCTTCCACCAGACCAGGTTGCTCCAAGCCTTGTCCAACCTGGCCTTGAACACTGCCAGGGATGGGGCAGCCACAGCTTCTCTGGGCAACCCGTGGCAGTGCCTCACCACCCTCACACTAAATTCCTCTCTGCTCTTTCCCCTTCCTCCTGGTAAAAAAAGGTGTGTTTGAAGTGGTTAAATTGGACTTTCCTCCCCCTTTCAATCAGGTTAAAGCACTGCCAGGCATGGGCACTACCATAGATGTTATTTTGATTAATGGACGCCTGAAAGAAGGAGACACCATTATTGTTCCTGGGGTTGAAGGCCCCATAGTAACTCAGATCAGAGGTCTTCTGCTGCCTCCTCCTATGAAGGAGCTACGAGTTAAGGTATGGAAACTGGTTAGTGTATTGACATTGAGAGAAGATTTTGAACCAGGTTTGGTTTAGAGTTTAGAAACTAGTGTTTGGATTATAATCCAAGGCTGCAACCATTGTCCTGTGCTTCATTTCACTGGAGAACTGTGTCCCTGCAGGCCACTGTCATTCCTAGTGTTTAGTCTAGTCCCTTCCTGCAGACTTAAATACTCTTGTAAAGTAGCACTAGTAATTGCTGATGCCTGTGTTGGTGTCCTCTCTGTGCCATGGTGATCCTTTGTTGTGAGACCATTGGGAGCCCAGAGATGCTGAAGGATGTAGCACTGAGACTGAGGTGGAATCTGAGCAGTTGCTGCTTGGCCTGATATAAATAGGAAGGGAAGAGCTGCTCTTTCCTGTTGTGTGTGTGTGTGTGTGTGTGTGTGGTATTCTGATCAGCGGTGTAGGACACTTGCCCTGGAGAATTTAAGTGAGGCTTGCCCCTCTGGTGTGCAACTTTACAGCTGTAACTTGAAAATGGCTAGAGAGTGGCAAAAGGAAGACTGACACTTATGCTTAGAGTACGTTCTCTGCTTTGTTGGAAGCTGCTCGATGTATTCTGGTACCATGAGGAATGAATTGAAAACGTGTGTTTCCCTTTATTTAGAGCAGAAGGTAGACTGGTGTGTGTGAAACTCTAATGAGACTCGCATGGCTTTTTTTGTGGACCTGAATAGCAGCGTAACAGATCACAGGTTCCCATCAACAAGATCTTCAGATGTGTTTCTGCACTTTTGGTGGGCGATGGAGTATGGGGTACCAGCACTGTGATGAAAAACACTGGATTGGGAACCTGTAGCTGGGGAGGTGGATCTAGAGTAGCTGATTGGTTTGTTTTCTTTTTGAGGCAGGCAGTGAGAATACATTTCAGTTCAGTCTGCCCACAGGGGATTGTCATCCTTGAAACAAGACCCAGATTTTGGGGTGGAGGGCTGAAGAATAGAGGCTTGCAGGAACAAAGTGCTTACTAGGGAAAGAAGCTGCCTGGCAGTTTTAAAGAAAGCATGGGACATCTCCCAAACAAAAGAAATGAAGAAACAAACCAGAAGATTCCTCCAGTATTGATTTAAAGGTCTTCAGAAGTAGCTGCTTTTATGATGCCTTGGAGCCATGCCCTGCATGGGTAGAGATCTTAAAGGCTCCCTGGGTGGGGAGGAGCACCTGGGAAATGGAGCATGGAACTAGGTAAACGAGAAGGTGGGATCCTCCAGTGGGAGAAGGGGACAGCTCTTCTGACAGGGAGCCTTGGGCTGTGTTAGCCAAGCTTTGGTGCTTCAGTTGAGCTGTTGCCATCCTCCCCTTACTTAACTATGGGGCTGAATTTGTATGTTTTTTTTTTAATGGTGAGTAGCTGCCTATCACTGTCTGCCCTTTTCTAGTAGATATTCCCTTCGGCTTTGTCTGCCTTCTCTGTTTTCAGATGACTCCCCCTGCTGTGCCACCCTTGATGGGGGTGGGGGCTGTCAGAAGGGAGAGGAGCATGCAGACTGAACCATGCAAAGCAGAGAAAATCACTGGTGAAAGATGGTAGCTGCTGGACTGTGCCATCATGCGCTCCACTTCTGCTGGCGGGCAGCAAGTTCTTCAGCTGCCCAGCACTACCTTGTGTTGCTGTGTGTCACCTGCATGAACTCTTTGTATTCTCATTTTCAGAACCAGTATGAAAAGCACAAAGAGGTTGTTGCTGCTCAAGGTGTAAAGATTCTTGGGAAAGATTTGGAAAAAACATTGGCTGGTTTGCCCCTGCTTGTAGCTCATAAAGAAGATGAAGTCCCAGTACTCAAGGTAAGGTGGCTGATGGTGAAGTAAGACACATAAGCGAAGGGTAACAGAGTTCTCTGATAATCGCAGGATCCTAGAATAGTTTGGGTTGGAAGGGATCTTAAAGATCATCCAGTTCCAGCCCCCTGCCACGGGCAGGGACACCTTCCTCTAGAACAGGTTGCTCAAAGCCCAGTCCAACCCAGCTTTGGACACTGCTGGGAATGGGACAGCCACAGGTCCTCCAGGCAAACCAAATGAGGAGCTCACTTAAATGTTGAAAGCTCGGTACACAAATAACTTGCTTTTTTTGGTTGTACTTTAAAACCTGTTACAATAGCATGCTGCTGTTGCCTTGTGCCCGTGGGAAGCATAAGCTCTGTGCTGTTTTTGACTCTTGTTTCCCTGATAATCTGCTGGGGTGTCTCTGCTGGTAGATCCTTGAAAACAAGGATCACAGCAGGGTTTGACTCTGTGTTAATTACTGAATTGATATTTGTAGTAATCTGTGCATATATTTCAATTAAATTATTAGGCAAATACGTGCCAGTGGAGTTCTTCAGACTGTCATAATTGCAAAGCTGATTTAAGACTCTTGTAGTAGATTTCTTTTGTGACTTACACTTCAAAAATGGGAAAGAATGTAGACATCTTAAAACCAAAACTGAGTTGAGATGCTCCAGTCAGTTTAAAAAGGAAAAGTGCATGTTGATAGTTTACTTTTAACTATAGTTTTATTTACCCTTCTGACTACTTCTGTCTTGCTTTTAAAGAGGGGGGTTAATCTTTCAGGTCCTCCAAATACAGACTTTGTTGCTGGGTACATCTCAGTATATACATAAAGCCTGATAGCAGTAGGTATGTAATGGCTTAAAGTAAATGGCAACACACATTAATCTGTCAGGAAAAGACTGTTTGAGTTTAAGAGGCCTGGGCTGTTAAAGGCTTTTAACTTCTCTGGAAGTAGCACAATGGCCTTCCTTGCTGGTCTGACATCCTCTCCTTTGTATCTAGGCCTGAGGAACATTAGAATTTTCTCCAGCTCATGGTTTTAGGAGTGTCTGCTTTCATTGTTGATCCTCAGGCAACCAGAGGAGTTGCCACACACTGGGGGGTGGATGTTCATTCAGTCTTGTCAGCAGAAACTTAAGAGTGCTGGGGAGAACTATATGTAGTCTGCAGAGAAATGCTATTAACTCCCAAGACGAGCATCTGCTTTGAGTTATGTGATCACCTACTTGCGAAATAGGAGCAAGCAGCAGCGTGTCCTGGGGCTGCATATGACCTGTACTGCAGGTCTGTGTCAGTATGGCTCTCATACTTCCAGAAGCTCATGAACGGAAGACTTTGCACCCTGAGGCATAAAGAGCAACAGAACTAAAACTTGCTTTTTTTTCTCCTTTTTTCCCTAAAGGATGAACTAATACATGAACTGAAGCAAACACTGAATGCAATCAAATTAGAAGAGAAAGGTGTTTATGTCCAGGCTTCTACTTTAGGCTCTTTAGAAGCATTACTTGAATTTCTTAAAACATCAGAAGTGCCAGTAAGTAATTCTGTGCTCTGTCTGATGCTGTTCCTGCATCAGATTAGTGACTGACTTATGTGGCTTTCTCCTTCAACAGTATTCGGGAATTAATATAGGTCCTGTCCATAAAAAAGACGTTATGAAGGCATCGGTTATGTTGGAGCATGACCCACAGTGAGTAACTTCTTCGCTTTATTTACTGCATTGATAAATGTTCAGTGGTGTTTGAGTAATGCCCTCTCTCAGCTCGGGGTCTGTGGTGTGTCTCAAGCTGTTTGACTTCTGTCTACTTACAGATACGCAGTCATTCTGGCATTTGACGTGAGGATCGAACGTGATGCACAGGAGATGGCTGATAGTTTAGGAGTCCGAATTTTTAGTGCTGAAATCATTTATCATTTATTTGATGCCTTCACAAAATATAGACAAGACTACAAAAAACAGAAACAAGAGGAATTCAAGTAAGTAAGAGCAGTCCTTATTCGGGATGACTCCCAGATAAGTGCCTCAGTTATTTTAGTCTGAATGAAACTGCTTTTAACTTCTTCCCAAATAGTTACCATTTACATGTTGTTCTGAGGGGAAGGAAGGAGAGGAGAATAGGACAATAAATTGGTAGTGTTCAAGAGTTCAGTACTCCAGTCTAATTGCTTACATGTGGGATTAGGCTCAGTAGGGCAAGAACTGTGAAGCAGTTGTAAGATTGAGCTCAAACTATCATGTAACATGGACTGTTCTTACTGAGGTTTGCTTTGTATGCTTGTCTTCTATTCCCAGGCTGTAACAGATGAGTTAGTCTTGCTGAGTTAAGGAGAAGAAAGGGATTTGGATGCTATTGTTTCATGCTTGTGCAATTCCAGTGTACAGGGCTTTATTCTGGCTGTGGTAACATGGATATGCAGCAGCATAGGGACCCAGGGACCCAGAATTAATTTTGGGAATCTGTTACTGGGTGAACCTCAGTAAAGTAAGGACAGTCAAAACAAATGAAAATGTTTCACTTGATGTTGGTCCCAGTTTGAGTTTGTACCTCAGCATTTGAACACATTTGTTCTCTTTACAATAATCTTGGTTTTGGAGTCCCTGTGAGCTGAGGCAATGGTATTTCTATTCCTGTGCTCTTGTGAGACCGTAATTGCACTGTAAAACTGCTGTTCCTTTGGTCTTGGTCTTAGTTGACTGCCCAAGCCAGTCAGATTAAAACCTATGCCAGCCAAGCCTGATTATTGTTCCCCATCATTCTTGAAGACTGAGCATTGATTAGAACTTGCATGATTGGGAAGGAGGGTTTTTTTCCTGCTTGATTTCTCTCAAAGAAAATAAATGTCCAAGAGTGTGGGAGAAGGCTGAAGCGTTCATGCTGTGTATGCTATTCCAGTATCTGTTGCAAAATGCCTTTTCTTTGTCACCTTCCAGGCATATAGCAGTGTTTCCTTGCAAGATGAAAATACTCCCTCAATTCATTTTCAACTCTCGTGACCCAATAGTGATGGGTGTAGTTGTGGAGGCTGGCCAGGTGAAGCAGGGGACTCCCATGTGTGTACCTAGCAAAAATGTAAGTAAACACCTCTTCTGTGGATGCATAATTCACCTGCTACTTCCTGGGATGAGGTATCAGGAAATGTGTGAATGCCCTTCCCTAGTGCACAGTTTTGGTAGGAGATAAGATTCAGGCTTTTACCAGCAAGGAGACTTGATCTCATCAGCCCTCTTGCTGTTCTGTGCTGGAACAGAGAAGTCTTGTAGTGGGGCACAGGAGCTGCCAGAAGTGTGGCTGGTGGGCACCTGCCAGTCAGCCACCTGCCTTCCCCACTGCATGTTCTGTATTGTGATGTCAAGGAAGAAGTAGAATTGTCATTCCTGGTAGCTAGTAAGGCGAAAAGTCAAATTGGGATAATTTAAGGGATAACAAATTGATACTCCAGGTGAGCTGTGGATGAGGTGATGTCAGTGCCCTTCTAATTATGGTGTGCTTACAGTGCGGTATGCTTTGCTGTGCCAGTTCTGAGGTGCAGTGCTTCCTGTGGGAATTCCTGAGGAATTTGTGTAAGATCGTATGCCCAGAGGGGTTTGTGGATGTGTAACAGGGCTCCTTCATTGTGTTGCAGTTTGTTGAAATTGGAATAGTTACAAGTATTGAAATAAATCATAAACCAGTGGAGGTTGCGAAAAAAGGCCAAGAAGTATGTGTGAAAATAGAACCTATTCCTGGGGAATCACCTAAAATGTACGGACGACACTTTGAAGCAACAGATATCCTCGTCAGTAAGGTAAAAGCAGTCTGTGTTTTTGGAGAGGGCTTATGGCATAGCAGTAGCTTGCTTGGAGTGGCAATGTTGCATGAAGCTTGAAAAACTTACCCTAGGAACCTCTGTGGCAGACTAATGGACATCTGAAACAGTTTGTGTGTGGTGCTGCTCAGCCCAGTGTCTCTGTGGTCTTGTTTTGAGGTTTGTAGGGGTGCCCCTTGAGGACCAAAGGAATGATGTACTGCAGATAAAAATACCTTGCACCTGAGAGGGCAAAACAGTTAGCTCTTTGCACAGTTGTGCTCAGAGCAGCTTAGCAGACCCCATGGCACAGCAGCATGATTGTTTGCCTGGTTTTGAAGTTGTGCAATAGATGGCAATACTTCAGTAGCTCTGATTCTGGAGCATGGGGTTTGGGTGAGAAGAGGATGAGCCCTTGTTCAGTCTTCAGCTCTCAGAAACACAGCCACAGCTCTCCACACTCCAAACTGCTGCAGTTAGCAAGCTGTGAGACACCCTCTGGCATACACACGCTGGGGGTAGCAGGCACAGGGGTTTTTCAGGTGGAAATGCAGGGCTTGGGAGGTTGTGCTGGTCCTATGGGCTCTGGGGGCAGTGGGAGGTCCTATCCATTCACAGGTCCTTGCCTTACCTGCACAGGGCATGAGACTGGCTGTGCTTCTGCCACCTCTGAATCCCAAGTGTAAGGGGTAGGATGTGAGGAATCGTAGAAGGTGGCGGACATGAGTAGCAAAACTGGGGTTAAGAGGAGCTTTTCTGCTGTGCAAAGTGCTGCCTATCTTCAGATCAATTCCTTCCAGCGCCTTAAAAGCTGCTTTTGTTAATAGGCATGTGTTTCTGATGGGTTTGTCTTGTGTTGCAGATCAGCCGTCAGTCCATCGATGCGCTGAAGGACTGGTTCAGGGATGAAATGCAGAAGTCTGACTGGCAGCTTATAGTAGAACTGAAGAAAGTGTTTGAAATCATCTAGATAACTTCTTACAGCAAAGGGGAGGCAGGAATAAGCACAGTATTCCTGTTCTAAAAGTTACCAACAAAGTCATATATTGAAGACAGTGTTGGATGTATGTTTGGGAGGAAAATAAGTGGATAAAATGTTTTCCATGAGAAACCAAGAAATTTACACTGGTTTGACAGTGGTCAATTTACACGTTCCCATGGTTCCAATGTGCCTGTTCACCTCTCCTATTGCCCTTCCTACTACTGGCTGCTGTTTTAAAGTTTGCCCTTCCTTCTCTTACACCTCCCTTCCACCCTTCTTCCCTCCCTCTCTCCAGAAGAAAATAAAAGAAATTGAATTTTTATTACAGAACTAAAGCTCTTTCACTTTTATACTGAGGAGATCAGTACTGCAGTATTTGATTACCCAAGCTTCTGCAGACTTTGTGATTCTTGGGACATTTTTGATGTAAGAAACTTCTTTATTTATGCATACCTCTTCCCTGAGTCTCTTCTCCGACATTCTTCTGCTTCGTGCCTCTAGAAATTTTTTTAAATAGAGAATTAGGCAATTGGCTATTTCTGTACTTGCTTTGTGTGATACAATGATGTAAGGCATAGTTGGTCACCTTTTGCTGCTTGTACAGTTCATGAAAGTCGACCTGTAACCATTATACCGCAGAGCTGCAAATAAAGGAGATGGACATAGCAGCCCATTGTTTTACAGTTTGCATTGATAAACAAGGTTTCACTTCATGGGCTGTCACGGATGTGCAAGTGCCAGGAGGAGCCTTTGCCTCTGTGGGCTTGGCAAAGTAGTGGAGCAGTGTTCCAGCAAAGGCATTTCTTCCTCTGGCTCCCTTCCCCTCACCAAGTGTGTATGGTGATGGTCTTGGTGTCTCCTACCATGTTCCCAAAGCTCTGGAGTTGCAGCCCAGGTGTGAGGTGGCACCTCTGCTCCAGCTGCTGCTCAGGGTTGTGATTGTCTGCAAGTGAGGGCGATTCTGGATGTTGCATTGAAGCCTTTGAGTCACCTGACAGCGTGGGACACAGCACCAGCTCCAAAGGCATTTGTTTGATGATTGATTGTGGTGTGCAGAAGTCACCCTGTAATCCCCACCTCCCTACCCCTTCCCTTCCCCTGTGGCTCCCTGCTAAAGATGACACCTTTACCTGTTCCTGATCATGGAGCCTCCTGGTAACTGACAGTTCATGTCCAGAGGAGCTAAAACACCACTTTTAAAAGCACAAGCTGGAACATTAGCATTTAAAATATTTCCAAGGATTTAACTTACAGTAAGCAGTTTGATCAGATTTCCTCTGTCATTTAAGACTACTTTTTCTGTTGGGAAACTGAATTTTATAACTGGGATTGTGCAGACTCCATTATAGAGCAGCACTTACCTCCTTTGGCAGTGGGATTTAACCTACCAAAATGATGTATGTTTGACTCTAAATGTGCCCTGGAAGAGGACTGCTTTGGTACAGTTGGTGTGTGGTATGAATTCACAGCACTGGGAGGTAATGGTTTAGAATGGAGTGGTCACAGCAAAGAGACTGCATTTCATTGTTAGAAGTTTCTTTTGCAAACTATGCAATCATGAAAACTACATTAATAAAAAGTTCTTAAGAACCCAGATGTCAAACATTGTGAAGTATTTGTGATTGTTTCCTCAAATGTGGGTGTTTCAGGTAGAAACTCTGGGAAAAGGATCATGCAGTTTCTGCAGGTGGATGATTGTGGAACCTAAGACCATACCCTCACCCACGTGCTTTAAGCAGGCAGGTAACTGTTGAATATAATATTTAAGGGAGAATGGAAATGTAATTACAAATACCCTTACTCAGTTAAAGTAATGTTCTGAGTCCTTCTAAACCAAGTATTTACCAATTCTGTCTTGAGCAGCACTTGGCCAAGCCAGAGCTGTGTACCTGAAACCTAATTGGCAAAATACTTGCTTGAATTTCAATATATTCCTTTATGTGAGCAGTTACTGTGCTGGTTTTCTTACACAGGGAAAGGAGAAAAAGGCAGCTCCAGAAGTCATGCAGCTAAAATTTGCTAACTAGTGCAACTTGATTCAGATGAGATCACTCTCCCCCTAGATCTGTGTCTACAAATAGCTGTAGTTAGATAGGTACCAAACAATGCAACTTGAGCTGGGAAAATCAGCCTTATCATTGACTGCCTGATGGTGGAAGGGACCTTTTGCACTCACCAAGTCACAGCCTACCCCGTGGTCAGGAAAGGGTAAGTCTAAGCAGGTTTTGAGCATCTCCTGTGAATGAGGACCTATAACCCCTGTGGACAGCCTGGTCCAGGGGCACTGTTAAAAGGTGTATTTTGTATGCAAAGTGTGTTGTCCTGTGCCTTTTCACTTGATGCCACAGGGGACGGTCTGTCTTTTGTCTTCTGCTTTCCCTCCATCAGATCTAAGATCCACCCCCAGCCTTCTGCTCTTCAGGCTCAAGTGTTTCAGCTCTCTCAGCCCTTCCTTGTAGGTAGAAGTTCCTTAAGCACTCCTGTGGCCCTGTACTGGGGTTGCCGTGAATGTCCATGTCCCTCTTGTATTGAGGAGCCCAGATCTCTGTCCAGCACTGCGGCTGTGTCTCACTGGTGCTGAGTTGAGGAGCAGTCTCCTCCTTTCACCTGCTGGTGATGTTTTTCCTCATGCTTTCTACCACTAACCATCAGGGACAGCGTGCCCAGGTACTTTTGAATCCATCTGTGTCTCAGTAGCCCATACTTCATCAGCTTGTTTAGCAGAATGTTACAAGCAGCCTTGCTGAAATCAAGGGAAACATCTGTCTCCCTCATCTTCCACCTTGTTGATAGATGGGTACCTCTCCCAGTGTGCCATACATAGGGCACAACCTAAAGCTAACCCTGTAGGGCAGGCAGTGAAGTGACTGCAGAGCATTTTCTGCTCAAGCTGCAGTTAAATGCAGCTACTCTGCTAACAGAGATGGTTCCTGCTGTGCTGGTGGTGCAAATCCTGCTCCACAGCTAGCTCCAGTTTCCATTCTAGCTTTCAATACTACAGTGTGTGAGCCCACACTCATCCATACTTCTGTTTCCCCTCCTGTAATTTCTACAGCAAATGAAAAGATTTGTCTTACCACCAGTGTTGTTTTTCATATGGTCTTCATTCTTTCCAGCCTTGCTGCAATGTACTGGCCAAATAGCACTATATGAGGCTGGTGCAGACTTGCCCAAAACGCAAACTGTACAGACGCAAGCACATCTCTCCCTGCTATGAATGCATAGAGACAGGGCTGTTTATTTCCCTTCTACTACTGACTACAGCCTATTTTATGTTGCATCAAGGAAATGCATGTCACAGGCTGGGAAGAACTATTAAGTGGAAAGTGAGCACTCAGGAGTGATAGGGGCTTCAACGGTGCCCCATGTCAGCTACTTCCCTCAGTCCTCTGGGTAACTGTGCAAAGATCTTCATTTGTCTCCCTCCCCGAGCACCCGGCTCCAGAGGTAACAAGCACACCGAAATACAGAGAGCTCAGAGAACACATACACTTCCACTCACACCATGTGTGCTTTGGGAGTGGCTGGGCCACACCAGCTTCTGTCTTTGAAGGATGAGGCTGAAAATGAGCTAATATTCTTCCCTTAGCTTCTGGAGAAGAAAGAAGCAGCAGCCAGGTGAGTGTACAGCAATCTCCCATGCATGTTGAGACAGTGGCATTGTGTATGTACAACTGTGTGAAATGAATCAAAGCTGTGGCTTTAATACAAGGGGTGTTAGCTATACATCAAAGCATCACAAAATAGAATCAGTACAAAAATATACATACAGTTCTTTATTAAACAACTGTAAACACTTCACTGTAAAAATCCATAAAACTTTATAAACAAACATTTTGTAAATAGATTCTATACTACAATAAAAGAATTTTAACACAATTATTTACATGCAATACTGACAAATTTGGCACTTTCTGAAAAGAAATGTACAAAACACTTTGTTGTTTAAAAAGAAATCTGAAATTATAAAAACTCAGGGCATTACTATCATGCACTTTGCAAATACCTCACAAGCACTTATGGCACAGCTAGCAGAGAGCTCCAGGCTCTCATCAAGCTCTTTACTACAAGTTCAGATAACTTTTAATGTGCTTCCGTAAGTTTGTTGTAAAACTACCTGAACATTGTCAAGAATGAAGTCAAATGCCATATTCCAAACCGATTCCACAGATGACTGCATTAACCTGAAGGAGAAAAGGAGGAAGAGGGCAAAAATTACTGTTAAAGAACCTGTCCTTTTTACAGCAAGTTTTAGTCTTCACACTGGAGAACAAAATCACATCATTCATTGTGAATGGTATTTTGATTTTATCTTGGTAAAGGCCTCTGTATTGTATTCATTGCTAAAAATGGAAACAAATCTTGGAGGCCAACAGACAGCTGCATTACCTCTATCACTGCACTACTACTAGAAGCAAAGAAAGGAAAATGAAGCAGCTCTGTACTGTCAAAATCCCTTCGCGATCACTGTTACAGGCAAGCCGGGGGTTCTACACTTACACCTTTGGAAGGCCTTAAGTCAGGGACAACATGCATCATCCATCTCCTGATCCCTTGCCCTATGCTTGTCACCACGCTTTGGAGAGACACACTGCCATTGGTGCAAACATCACATACAGGGACCAGGACTGGACAATGCTGCTTTCTGAGGAGCTTCATAAACGATTTACTATGCAGCATTGAACAAAACAGTTAACTGCACTAGGTGTTTTCCATTTCCTGAGGCCTAAAGACATCAAAATCATCATACAAAATTATAGTGAAGTTTTTACACTGCTGCAGTCTTTTGGGTGTTAATTCTGTGAAATAAATATTTTCCAGATATAAGACATGGAAAGCTGAGCTCCACAGTTATGTATCAGTTAGTAAGCACATAATAAATGGAACCTGGGCCTCCTGACTCATGGGAAGAGTAACAGGAGCACAGTAACTAAGTAATAAAAATGGATTTAATAGGTTGGAGGTGAGACAGGATCCGGATAGAGCAGGAGAACATAATCAGATGGAATGAAGGTATGATCGAAACAGCACCATGAAAAATAAGTGAATATAGGATGAAGGGATAATACTGACAAAAACAGTATCCTTTGTCTAGAACCAAAAGATGCTGTAGCAAGTACTGTTAAATGCTACTCTTTTCACATATTACCTGTTTTAAAAGCCCAACTCTTCTCCCCACTCCTGTTCTTGAATAAAATTTATCTACACTCATAATGGAATTCTCATGGTCTTGTGGCTTCACAGTGAAGCAGTCAATGCGTACATTATAACAAAAATGGTCTAAGTGAGTGTCGCAAACACTAGTGATTGAGTTACCTTTTCATGTACTTTACAACCAGATCCAACTTTTCCAAATCTTTCTCTTCTATTAGATCAGTACAATACTTAACAACCTGTAGAATGTCTTCTTCCATGGGATCTGTAATAAAAAGTTAACTTTAAGTATACTTTCACAGAATAAATGGAATGTAATAGAAAGAAATTCTGCAGTGTTAGCACACAAGGGGCCAATCTCACAATTGCTATATCCCCATACCTCCCCCCAGCATCACCAGCGGTGTACATAAAAGGGCTGCAAGGTCCTGAAATATGTGTCTCTTGAACTCTTCTTTGATGGCCAAGCTAACATTAGCCAATGGGAAAAGAAGTAGGAACTTAAAATGGAGTG